GTGGCCGGGAAACCTCCCTTCAGTACCCAGACGCACACTATGGGAGCCACTGGGAGGCGGGTTCGGGCCACAGGCCAGCCTCTCCAGTCCCTGTGCCTCCCCGCTCATTCCCGAAATTGTCTATCACTCAAACTAGCTGCAACTCTCCACCTATCCCCTAAGCAAAGCTATAAATGCGTCTACAATGATTACGAGCATATTGCTCTCAATTCCCAGTACCAACACAGTATTCTCAATGCGCAGCTTCATTGTAGACTATAGTCCTCGTGGTCACTCCTACCCGTCAGCACGAACCACCAGAACTCCAGAATCTGCCCTGGTTAACCCATCCCTACACCATAACCTCATACCATTCAGGTCTATATAAGTACCGCGAGTCTCCCAACTTGCATTTTCTTTCAACCAAGTTTTGCATTATGAATGTGGTAGGATCATAACATCTGCAAGTGTGGATGCGTTCTATATTTGTATACCTGTCTGTGTGTGTGTGAGAGACCTTTAGGGAAAGAGAGAAGGGGGGTAGTGGGGAAAACGGGGGGGGTAGAGAGAGATGATGGTCGATGCGTATGTACCCATCCAGTTTTTGGTAACTTCGGTCTTCCCCCGAATACAACGTATAGTGATTGTCACTGTAATTGGGGTATCTTTCACTGTAAATACAACTATAATTACAATCTTCACCCAAATAGAATGCCTGATCATCATACCTGTATTTGGGGCAATTTCCAGTCCAGATTCAGCTAGAATGACCAGGCGTTCTATTCGGGTGAAGACGATAGTCGCATCCCGGGGCTATGACACGAGCATGAACGATTGGGTTAAGACCCAGACATTAGAAAGCTTTATGGACTGGGACCGGTAGGTGGTTAAGCATGTTTTGCAAGATGGGGGAACCGTTAGACCAGCTAAGGACAAGGCTAGCAGGTTAGTTGACTCCTATGGTTTCATGTGCGCATCCAAGTTTTATGATTATTAGAAACAGAACCAAGAGGAGGGGGTGTGTAGTCTTCGTCTCTGAGAAAGGGGAGGCCGTTAAATCACCCTAGAGGTCGAAGCTGTCGTTGCTAGGTACCCTGATCTGTTTGAGGAGCCTGTGGGAGTCTTTGAGAGGGAGGTTGTCCAAGCCATAGAAATCATCCTAGGTTGTCCACGCCATAGAAATCATAGAAATCATACCAAAGGGGAGGATTTTATAGGTACATTAAACTTGTCTCAGTGATTGTGAAATATCCTATTCATGGTGTGCTGGAATTTACCTGGCGCATTGCAAAGGCCAAAAGGCATCAACACAAACCGGTACAGACCTTACCTGGTCTGGAAAGCGGTTTTGTGCTGGTCCTCTAGTCTTATCGAAATCTGACGGTAGCTGGATTTTAAGTTTATTTTCACGAAGTAGCTACATCCCTGCACCCTATCCAATAGATCGTCAATGCGGAGTAGAGGCTCTGCGATCTTCACCGTGATGGCATTCAGGCCTCTGTAATCAATGCACGTCCCCAACGATCCCCCTTTCTTTGGTACAAATAAAACTGGTGACCCCTGGGGAGATGTACTAGGCCGTATCCAACCCTTCTCCATGAGCTCGTTCAGTTGCTGACGGAGTTCGTCCAACTCAATAGAAGGGATGGATTTATAGGTTGCCCTATTGAGTGGGATGAACTCCGTTGGCAACTGAAAGAGCTCATGGAGAAGGGTTGGATACGACCCAGAACATCTCCCTACGGGTCACCAGTTTTATTTGTACCAAAGAAAGGGGGATCGTTGGGGACGTGCATTGATTACAGAGGCCTGAATGCCATCACGGTGAAGATCGCAGAGCCTCTACTCCGCATTGATCACCTATTGGATAGGGTGCAGGGATGTAGCTACTTTACGAAGATAGATTTAAAATCCAGCTACCATCAGATTGCGATAAGACTAGAGGACCAGCACAAAATGCTTTTCAGATCAGGTACGGTCTGTACGAGTTCGTGGTGATGCCTTTCGGCCTTTGCAATGCACCGGGTACATTCCAGCACGCTATGAATAGGATATTTCACGATAATGATATTCTTATCTTTAGTAAGAATATCGAGGAGCACGAGCAGCACATTGACCTTGTGCTTGGACTCCTGCAACAGCAATTGTATAAGATAAACTACAAGAAATACAAGTTTGGTCGCACCAAGTTCTTATACTTGGGTCATGAGGTATCTGCAGAAGGAGTTAGGCCGAAAGATGTGAAGGTGGTCAGCATTCATGATTGCCCACGACCTCAGTCTGTGATGGAGGTCAGATCTTTTGGGGGGATGACAGGCTATTACCGCAATTTTGTAAATAATTATAGTATGGTTGTTGGCCCCTTGACTGATCTAACACGCCTTGACACACCATGGGAATGGACTGATGTATGCAAGAGAGCCTTCAAGCAATTCTAGTATGATCTCATGCATCATGAGGTTCTCATGCTCCCTAACCCTGAGAAGCCATTTAGTGTGACCACTGTGCTGGCTCAGCAGGAGGGGAAAAAGGCCGATCGAGTACATGAGCAAGAAGATGCCGTCCAAGAAATTAGCGAAGTCCACCTACGAGAGGGAGCTCTACGCGCTGTACAATGCTCTAATCCACTGGAGACAGTATCTTCGGATGGTTCTTTTATTTGAGGACTGACCAGCAGACTTTCAAATTGGATTAAGACGCAACTGGTTCTCTTCTATGCACTCAAGCGCTGGATTGAGGTCATTGATTAGTATGACTTCGAGCTAGATTACGTGAAAGGAGAGTACAACAAGTTTGCCACCGCACTCTTGAGGAGGTCTGATGAGCTAACTCAATCATTGGTGGACATCATCCATAAGCTTGAGGCCCGGGATAAGGCCAGATCAGATGAGTTTGTGATGGTGGATGGGTTGCCCTTTCTTGAAAAGGCATGGCTCAAAAGACTGTGTGTCGTCTTGTGAGTCTTTGTGTAGTTTATTTTTAGGAGAACGTGACGATGCGACAAGGCATTTCAGAGAGTACGGTGGCCAGCTATGCTTGATGATGTGAAAAGTTACGTCCAGACTTGGTCTGTCAGCTGGACAAGCGGAGAACTCAAGCACCGCTTGGGCTACTCAAGCCCTTTTCCATTCCTGCAGGTCTGGGACAAAGTGTTTCCATGGATTTCATGGACACCCTCATGACCGGCACGAGGGGCAAGAGGCACATTTTCGTCATAGTTGACCAGTTCACTAAGTGTGCTAGACTAATTGCCATACCTAAGACTGCAAAGACTGAGCACGTCATCAAGTTATTCATGAATAACTGGGTGCATGGTTTTGGACTGCCAAAGCCAATGGTAAGCGATAGAGATGTCCGGTTCGCCAGCAAGATGGGCAGTTAACTTTGACGTCGGCGAATCACCCTGAATCCAACGTACAAGCGGCACAGATGAACCGCATGGTGCAACGTGCTCAGTCTTTGCAGTCTTAGGCATGACAAGTTGCCTCTCATCGCCAGCATGTACAACAACGCTGTTCACAGCTCCACCGACGTCAGTCCAAATGAGCTGCATTTGAGGTGGAAGCCTAGATCTGCACTGGACTTCCTCCTTTCTGAAAACCGACCAGCTGCAACTCCTGGATCCATAGAATTTGGCATCCAGTATGAGAAGCTGTTGCAGCAGGCTGTCGAGCATATTAGAAAATCTCAGGAGGCCGTGATTGCCTCAGAGAACAGACATAGGCGACAGTCCACATTTCAGGTAGGGAACATCTCTGGGTAAAGGCTAGCGTGTTAGAACAGGAATTCGGCATCTCTAGAAAGCTAATGCCTCAGTACTTCGGTCCTTAGTAAGTCTTAGGTATTGTGGGTAGAGATCAGGATGGTCCCTCGTAGGTGATTCAAATTCCTGGTCACCTGCACACTTACCCTGTGTTTCACGCTTCCAAGCTTGCACCTTTCGCTGAGACTGACAAGTTTCCTTGAAGAAGATCAATGTCGCCCCCAACCATGGATGGGGACGTGGGCATCGATGACATCGTGGATCACAGGGATCTGCCTGTTCCCAACCCAATCAGCAGAGGGAGACCACCATAACCTATAAGGGAATACCAGGTCAGATTCAGAAGTCATACAGATCTGAATGAGGATCGCTGGTTCCCAAAAGAGGAAGCTGGTGAAGACAGCCCCTCAAGTCGTTGCAGAGTGTGAACGCAAGTTGCAGGGGAAATCGCCTGCGCAGAAGCATCTCAGCGGGCTTTCGAAGCTAAAGGGGAAGGAATGTGACGAGGTTTCAGCCCTCTGCAAAAGGCCGCATGGGAGCGACCTGCCAATGCCGAGAGAGAGAGAGAGAGAGAGAGAGAGAGAGAGAGAGAGAGAGAGAGAGAGAGAGAGAGAGAGAGAGAGAGATGACTCTTTCTGCGCTCTCCTTTTTTAGTCTTTTAACTTTTTACAGGTATATGAAAGACCGAGGTGGTCACAACAGTTCTCTTTAAGGTTCTTTCTCTCCAAAAGAGACAGAGTGCCAGCTTTGTTAGTTCTGACTCAGAGCTGTCTGTTTGATTTGGTTAATGTGTTGCCTGTTTATCAGGTGGATGCGAATGGAAAAGAGGACGACGTAGAAGGCAAAACAGAGGAAACTTTCAGGCTCAGGAAGGAGCATATTGATCATTGGATTGGTGCAAAGTGCACGCCAGTTAGGAATGGTGACGGCGCTGAGGGACCGACGGTCAAGTCTGACACAATTGGACCAATTAAGCCTGGTAAGTTCCCTCTTATGGTGTTGTGGTGTGGAAAACTGTCTCGTTGTACCTTCCGCTCGCTGTTGCTTCCACCAAACCTCCTGCTCTCCTGCCATTTGTATCGACTGAGCAAGTGCGTGTACGCTATTGGGTATTGCTCCATGTTGCGGATGTGTCCACCGAAAGACATCCTTTCCTGCATGCTCCCCCTGTGATAATGATAATGAAAAAGTGGAGCACAGCATCTGACCATTCTTCAATCCTCTTTCACGCAGACTGTGGTGCTGTTCCTCTCCCTTGATCCAACCTCTTTTTGTAGTGCTAAGTTCAGAATTTGTCAAAGCCTTGCACGGTGTCTTGTAATCATTGTTGAGTGGTCTGTTATGTGGGCTGTGTTATTGGTCCTGTGGGTGGGTGATGCTTAACACTACAGCACTGTGAAGAATCTCCGTTTCTGAAACTGAAGTTCCCGTCATCCTCCTCTCCCAATCTGGTCACATTGAATCGTAATTTTCTGATCCTTATGACACCTTATCCTGAATGTCCTGTCCTCTCCATCTTCCTTCCACTGTTATGACACTCTACCTCTCCTCCTGTTCCACACCCAGTCCACTCCTGGCCTACTTTTCCCTGCTGCTGATGCTGCAGTATATCAACTTTTCTCCGAACTGGTTCTCCCTACCCTTCCCAAGCTCTGGCACCAAGGATATGGTGCTGCATATTTCGGAGGAAAATGACACCTACAACCCTACAAATCTTGTTAAGACCAATGCAGACACCTATATGCGAGGAGGCGCCCGGACACCCAACTTGTGCCGGGATACACGCCCAGGCGCATGGCTGGGGATGACCCCCGGCCACTTGCGGGCAGGGCTCCAAGCAGCCCCAGCACACACACACACACAAAAAAAAAAAAAAAACGAAAAAAAAATGTTGTGTAGAATTGCAGTGCAAACAACTTTTCTCTGAGGGTCTCATCAGAATTCCTCACTGAATTGAAGACAAACCGAATCAGACTGATTTATAGCCCTTTGACAGACGACGCTCAAAAGAGAAAAGAGCCTTTTCCCCTTGAAATTTGAAAACCAATTTCTAGCCCCCCCCTTTTCCCCCTTTGACAGACGACGCTCAAAAGAGAAAAGAGCCTGGATTTGGGCTCCTGTGGACATATGTGGAAACCCCCCACTGCCCAAAGGAAAATAAAAAATAAAAACATCGACTCTTCCACGCCCGGGTTCCACAGCCATCAGACCCCCATGGGCCTCACGCCCCGGGCGACAATGGCCGGGCAGGCCGTTGAGGGCGTGACAATCTTCCTAGCCTACATGGTCAGGACTCACGAGCATTATTGTGGCCACTTTGGAAGAAGCTGGGGTGGTAATGGTCTGTGGCGATGCCATGCTTTAGCACCCGCATGTCTTGTGGTCCACAGATTTATAATTGATGCCCTGCTTTGTGGTTTGCAGCCTACCCAAGATGTGAACACCTGATGCTTGAAGGAGGTGCAGTGGAGGGAGAGAAGCTGACATTCTTTGCCACATATTCTGGGGGGTATGTAGCCTCTCCTTCGTTTTGAGGTCTCTCTCTTTCTCTGTGTGTGTGTGTGTGTGTGTGTGTGTGTGTG